GAAACAAACACAACGCGCGAGTTCAATGTCCAGCCTGGATGCTCGTTTCCAATAATATTGCAGCGAAAACGAGAGAGTACATATATAGTGTATCTTCTCCATATCCCTTTATCTTTCCGGCTACCGTTGCACATGTGTACCCGGTTTCTTCTTTTTCTGCCCTCCAGTTTAAGCTTCTCTTTTTCTCGATTTGTTTTCCCCCCTCGATTGTTTGTTTTTTCTCCTTTCCCGCTTTGTGTCTCTCTCCCTAGACTGTTTCTCTTGCCTGAAATTCACATTGGTATATATTCTCCTCTGCTCTTCGTTTCCCCCTTGTCCTAACCTCTTTTCCCCCTCACCTCTTTTCTCATCTCCTACTCCCACCCCTTCTTGTACCACCCGTTCGTTACTCACCATTATCACGACGCACTCGTATTGCAAAACAGCAGTTGCACCTCCGTCGCTGCCGTCGTAAACGTCCACGTCGTTTCCATCATCGCTATTATCACTCACACAGGGAAGATGCGCACGGAAGCTGCGCGTACTGCGCTCTTTAGGGCCTATCCTCAACGCGCCTCCCGCCTCTTCTCTCATCATCGAACCGAGAGATCTTCCTATTCGACTTACTTTCGTTTATTTCCGATGATGGTGCAGCTGCATGCGGCAATCGCTGATTGCTGACGATGATGAGCTCTTTCCGAAGAGGTATTCCCACGTATATATATCGCGACGTTGTTCCCCTTTTCGTGGGACCGGACTCGATGCTCCGGTCTCTTCGTACATTATTGTACGGTTAATTCAGGTGATTTCTATAGACACGAGCGCGCACCATTTGTTCCGCTCGTCGATTCGTAATTGACATGTTTCCTTGGCATTTTTCTTTGTCCTCGTGTTTCAGTATCCTTTGTTCTTTGTGGATTTGACCGACGATTCGACAACGACGCCATATTGGTTTTTTAGGGAATTGTTGAGAACTAAATTGTAGGTGCATACACGGTTAAGAACAGATATAAGTGAACAGGTAGTAGAAATAGATATTAGTAAAGTTTCGTTAAATACGGCTTCTTTTTTTTACACAGAAATGTAAATTTTAATTTCAATTATGTAATGAATAATTTATATACTGTGAGTATATAAGGTAATTGAAACTTAAGTATATAACACTACTACCAATTCGATTAAACTTTATTGATACCTATGTACTGTTACTACCTGTCCTTATTTTTGTTCTCGACTATATGATACATGATATCTATTGACACAGATATATAAACATCCAATGTGGTCCATATAAACAGGTGAAAAGGAGAACAGGGTTAAAATGGAATAGCTTGAAATGTTCTTTATGTTAAAACTAGTAATTTTGACGAAGAGGGAATGGAAATACGAATAGAATATATAATTTGTGAGAACATTAAAATTAGGAGTTACATTTACTGCACCCGGAAGAATTTTTAATATTCTACTATTACTATATTCATTGAATCTCCAAAAATGTATAATAACGTTGCATACACATGCTGTGTCATTTATCATTTTGTACCAATTTGCTTAAAGAAAGTCGTAAATCGAGAGATTCTAGGTCACCGTTCATTCACAATAAAATGTGCTAACAGATGGCCAGCAAATAGCTAGAAAGTTTCTTATGTACTGAGGTGAAATCTCAGGTAATATAAATGTTATTATTCCCATTGACAGTGTTTTAAATCTTACCCATTGTAAACGGGGATTGAAGAAAGTGGATCACATCCGTATTAATTTTCATATCCTTACATATTAATGTCATATCAGAATGATTAACTCACTGGAATTTTATTTTTTATTTGCAGAAACATTAATATAGATTTATTACTCTTCTTAAGTAGCTTATTTTATCTATCGTCCTTCATCGAAATCGTTCTCTATTTTGAAACTATATATGCATTGAAATCATTTGCAGACCTATTGTTGTATAATATAGCATAGTATATACCATAATACTGTTTTGCAATATGATCCCACCTGTAAAGGAACACCAGAGATATTATTGACTGATGTGGGATGAGGATGTGTACTCTCTTGTGTATGGCGCTGACGCGTATAAATGTAGCGTGTTTTGCTACAGGTGCAACTGTTTGTATATTTATTTCAATGCACCAATTAAATACTTTTGAACTTAGTGGTACATATGTTTATCTAGAAATCCATATTGATAAAGAAAAATATGTTTTATTTATGTTGAAGTAGAATGGAATTAAAGATGGAGTAAGTGTATATCTTTATTCGTATCAGGATTCGAACTCGAGCCAACAGCACCAGTAGCGCGCGCCTTAGTCGTGACGCTATTGAAGCCCCTTGGTGTTCCTTTACTTTTTCCGGTTTTTTTTCCTGTGAATTTACAGTTTGTATCGCAAAGGCTTCCGATCCCACGAGCACACACGCTTCAAACATTGCGTACCAAATATTCAATATAAAGCATGTCTATCCCGAGAGAAATATGTATATTATTACACTATACATTGTGTATAATGTGAAAATTATATTTCTTTTGGATAGATTTTATTATATCCAAAATGACGGATCCATGCGTAACAATGCTCTAGTGATTTTTTGAGGAAACTGCCGAAATTTTGGAAAGCACCAAATGCTGTTTTCCACCAAAAGCTGCTTCCCAAATTTTGCAAATTAATTTTCAAAAGCACGAAAAATACTTAGGTTATTTAGTATTCTCCACTTCGAAATACGGAATTTCAAATTTACAAATCTCCGTCTATAAAAAGAAATTTGTTTTAGCAGTTAGAATATTAATAATTATAATAAAGGAAAAAGATTCTAAAATTTTGTTTTCTAAATGAAAATATTTCTTATAGTAATAATATATTAATGATTTCGATAAAAGAAAAGATCTAAAATTTTATTATTTTCCTTCTGATTTCAGAATGTGGACCATAAAATGAAGTTCCGCTCTAAGAAAGGAGCATTGCCCTTCGTCGAGTTGAACGGCGAGGAGATCGCGGATAGCACCATCATCCTTCGCGACTTAAGCGCGAAATTCGACAAGGATTTGGACGCCGTCCTTACGGCTGAGCAACGAAGCGTTTCTCACGCAATGATATCGATGATCGAAAACCACCTGGTATGGGTTGTCATGTGCTGGCGTATCAAGAATCTCGATCAAGTTTTGAAGGGTTACAAGGTGAACCTTCAGCACGCGCTCGGTACTCGCATTCCTAATGGTATCCTCAACTTTTTCTTCAAGCTTACATTCGGGCGTAAGGTAATTTCCTATTCTAAATCCCGTTGTTATATCTAACAAATTTCTTATATTTTGAATATTCAATCTTTGAGATAGATTATAACTAGATGTATCACTAAATTAAGAAAAATTTTTATTAATTATCTATTGTAACAATTAACTCAGATATACCCAATATCCTTGGAAGAGAATGATTAAAAAGTAATTTTATTATATTCTACTTAAACTTTATGGTGCTATTTATCGCAATCAATCTTTTTTTTGGCAAACATGACCCTCTTTAAGAAAATTTCATTTAATAATATGAAAATTTTGTAATTAATATATAAGGGAGGGAACAATGTTTCAAAATGTTTTATGAGATGGATTGGGCATATTTGAGTTAATAAAATATGATTACGTGTATATGAAATGTAATATTTTAAATATTTGAGTACTTGTTCCAGGGTGCGAAAAAAGTGAAGGCGCAGGGTATGGGTGTGCATACCCCAGAAGAGATATCCCAATTCGGTTGCGCCGATCTCAAAGTTCTCTCCGACATGCTTGCCGACAAGCCCTTCTTCTTTGGAGATGAGCCGACTACGGTAAATTTTGATTCACTTTCTTAGCAAATCTATTTGAAGACTACTGCGGAAAAGCACGATAAGTCACATTTTCTATTTGCTATAGGACAGCAATTTCCAAATTCAATGCATTTTCAAGTAATAATGTGTTATTGAAATTCCTCTTAAACATACATTTCTACCTTAATTTAAAAGATATAAGATATCAAAAGCGATGAAAGCTTTTTGTAACATTAAAATAAAATATTTTAATTTCTTCCAATACGTTAATATTATAAGAAACTTTCAAGCTTCTGATATTTTACATTATATTTTTTAAATTATGGAGGAAGTCAAATAAATAACAATTTTGGATTAATCGAGACACAATATTTTAACATCTTTCAATATTTTATTAAAATGTGTTAAAATATTCCCTTTTAGTCATACGGTAACACTGAAATTATAAATTCGACAAAAATGTACTTATCATGTTTTCTCGCGTAATCTTCATTCATATTTAATCTCTGCTAAAATACTTTTATATTTGAAACAGTTGGACGTGGTGGCATTCGCCCACCTTGCCCAAATCCTCTATATCGACAAAGACACGCCGTACAGTCTCCGAGATTACATGCAGGAGAATTGTCCAAACTTGGTTGGTCAC